AGCACTTAGTTCCCAGCACTTAGTTCCCAGCACTTAGTTCCCAGCACTTAGTTCCCCCATGGAACTAAAGAGCCGATCGCGTTCACACCGTAATAAGTTCCCTGAGGGAACATTACGCAAATAAAGCCGCTGACGTCACTTCTTCTTCTGCTTTGGGTTTGCTGGCAGGCCGCAAACCAATTCACGGCGTATACTGCCACCCGGAGTCCCCGGCCGGAAGTCCGCAGAGTTGGGGACTGGCTTCCGAGTAAATCGCCAGAAAGCCCGACACCTCCTCATCGCTCCAATGTTTTCTTTTGTGTTGCTATAAGTTAGTCTCTCTCCGTTGGTGCGCGGGGCTAATGCTAAGGCTAATAATGCTAATGCCAGCAAATACAATGGCGGCTTAGAAAAACTTTTCCGAGTTATACGGGGCGTGGTTTGGAATTCGCCCAGCTAATCAGAAATTGGAACTTTTTTCTCCCCAGGAAAGTACCACCTCTCTAGCAGGCACTAAAAAGGGGGTAAAAGTTCTCATGAACTAATGTGAACGCAAAATCCCAGGAACTATCGGAACTAAACGGGAAAGAACGGGGAAAAGTACTCCGGTGTGAAAGCGCCTAATGTAACTGACACTAAGTGCATTATTTTACCTGCAAAGTTGAAAACACTGAACAACACCCAAAAGAACAAAGCGGTGCCCTCTACATCTAATCCACTAAGTCACGCTGATTCTCTCCTCTGGGTAAGTGCTGCAGCACATTGTTTTGCAAGTCAATAAGGTAGTAATTGCGTGAGGTAAGTAGGTATCATCGCAGTAGAGGTCAGCGTAGGGAAGTCATTCTGTGGCTATTTGACTTTATGTTTTGCTCAGGGGAGACGAACGCTACAGAATGTAAAGTGGCCTCTTTTCCACAAACTGATGAGGGGGAGATTGCAGCAGATGCCTGACCCCTCGTTGTGAGGCTACTTCTAATTTGTTTGTCCCTTTTCAGCCCACAGGGCGCTTTGAGCAAGGGGAAATGATTCAAGAAACGTAGCCTGCATTCCTTCATCCACAATCTCCCAATTTGTTCCCTGAAATGGCCGTGCCGATGTTCACTCGAGCTTTAATCAGGCTGGCAATCTCACTGTGTGTCGCGCTTTTGGGCACGGATGGCTGTGAAGTACAAAGATGACGCTCAGGGCTTTGAGATGATCTTCTAAATGACCCACCAGATCAAAACGAAGGGCAGACATTTGTAATAAACATAGTTCAGTTGTATGAACTTCAAAATGCATGACTGATCAAAAGACTGGAGCAGATTGGATGAGTTTTGATCTGGAATAAATCCTTTTTCAGCGGCTTTGGACGGAGATAGATCAAACTGAGACCATTATTTCTCCAGAGTAATGCAGTATATAGTGTTTAACATATATATCGTGTATATTCCTGTGGATTTAGCTCAATATAGGCTCTGTCTCAGCATTCAGACCCGGTCTTTGACTTTTAAAAAGTGACCCTTATAGGCGACCCATGAGGGATGATAAGCAGGTTCACATTTTGCCTCGTGTCTTTTGATGAATACAGATGGGATATTTCTGACAACGATGATGGATATTCTGACAGGTCCCATTTCCGTTCCCTTTGCTGATGAATTTTCAAGTTGTGGGGGGGGGGTAAAAGAATCACGAGGCAGGATATCATTTTTATATTTGAGTGGGCATGTCGTTTCATGTTTATCCTTTTGGAATTAAAGTGAGATTTAGTCCAAGGTGACAGGCTGGTTCAGGGCAAAGAGAGCGGTGAAAAATAATATAGTGAATTAAACAGGAGATGCTTTTGACATTGCTAAAAATATAATGCTGCGTCATTCTTTACTTTAAACACAGCATGCAGTCTCCTTTTTAGTACTCACCTCACATCCCCACTACACTAAGTCTTATCAATCCTGAGCCATTGCTTTAAAACCTTTGTGTTTCCGAGCACAGCTTGTCGATGTCTTATTTAGGAAGGAAGCCATTACATCTGACCTTGAGACTCGCCTAATTACTGTTCCTGCATAACAATTGAGAAAACAGCGTCCATCAGTGTCCGGACTGGCAGCTTTGTATACACGGTGGACAAACACAATGTTGTCGCACAGACTCTGGAGAAGCACTGGACCAGAGCTCCTGAGGAAGTGGAGAGTTTCTGAATTCATAGTGCTTTTCTGGCCGTATTGGCAGCATGCCTCAGGGAAGGAAATGTTGTTCTCTCAATATCTCAACAATTATTTGATGTATTTTCATGAAATATGGTACAGACGTGCATGATATATATATTGTATCTGTATTATATCATACATATTATAGTTGCATATTGTTTTCATGACATTTACTTCTCCTCTCACTCATTTCCATGTATTTATTTACGCATTCAACCACTTTTTATTCACCAACATTGATTGTATTTCCTATTGTGACATTATGTAAGCAGCTAGGCGGTTATTCATGAAAAAACACCAACATAGGGAGCAGGAACTCAACGTGTTTCTGTACATAATCCCGCTTTTTACACGTCTACGTACAAAAAGACAACAGCTTGACTCTCGATATTAATTTGACATGAGTTTATTGATTTACCATATTGCGTCTGCTAGAAGAAATAGTCCTTACATCTTCATTTACAGTTACCTTTCCATTACATTCTATATGTTTTTGACCTGTAACCAACCTTCTCAAAAATATCTATCTTGTGCAGTATAACACATACAAACCATCAAGATAAGAATATTTTCAGATATAATGTCCAGTACTAGTACTCGCTCCGAAACCACAGCATATTAATTTCAGGTCGATACTGTACGATGTCCTTTTGATCAGTGTGAGATATCAGCAAAGCGTGTGGTCCGCTGAGTTTTGATTGATATTCATCTTGGTCTCAAACCAAACCCGTGATCACGCTTCATTTCTTATCACCTAGACTTTTTTTTTACCTGTCATTTCAATTGAACAATATGACTATATCAAGCCCTCCAAAAACCTAAATTGGCCTAACCAAAGTGAGAAAAGTCGATTTTTAAAAGTCACTTCCCCTTTATACTTTGCTGTTCTTCACTTAGGACTGAAAATCAATCCTTAATCAGCCCGATAGAAACATCGATCGCTCTAATGAAACAAGAGCTGCGACATACAGTGTTGGATTTTGGACATGCTAAATGTGAAGTGGATGTTCTTCTCCATCCCGACTTAATTTGCAGACTTTTTGAGTAAGTGCCTGAGTCCGAAGAGAGTCTCTCAACACCTGACGAGATGTGCTAATTAAGTGACTGGGAACGGGAGGTTTCTCTCCTGTAAGTTTTCTTATTTTCACATGGAGGCAGCTACAATGTTCAGTCACATCTTGCGGGGTAAGGTATGACAGATTGGATTAGAGAATCAGTCATTATAATAGCCATTGGGCAAAACTTCTATCTTCATTCTGTGAGGCTCAGCACCTGAACCAGATATACAGTGCGTCAGATTAATCATACCCGACCGGCTGCAGGAGCATAATCACTTTTCCTCCTTCTCTCTTTGTTTTTGTCTCTTTTTCTGACGTCTTATGGTAAAGCTGCGCTCCCTGGTTCATTTTGTAGACATATGTGCAGCGAAATGTGTTAAAAGAAGGTTGTTAAAATGTCCTACAATGCTGTTTGAATGCAGGAAGGGGTTTGAAGTGTGACTGGCAGAGAATGGACTCATTACTTTGCTTTTTCACTGGATGATCCACACTTCTTTATTCTACGCTGCTCAGGAATATCCATCAGAACCATCTGTTACTCTCTGGGTGTTTCTCAATGTCGAGGACGCTTGCTTGATAGCACATGTCTTCCGAGTCACTTGCTTCAGAAGCGAGGCAAGAATCCTTCCTGGCCTCGGAAAACGAAGAATTGTGGAACAGGCTAACAAGTGGAGCGCGATTTCCACCAAAGATTTGGAAATTGGTCCGTGCGCAAAGCATTGTGGGGATTTTAAGACCGCGGACTCTACACATGTGCAGCCTCGAAATTTCTCGCTACGAAGTACGCCGTCCTCGGTAGAATTCGAAGCATCCTGGACATTGGAACAGTCCTTCGGCGGCACTCGATGACGTAGTATGCTTGAAATAGTGGCTCTGGAGCATCCTTCCTCGACATTGAGAAACACCCACGGTGTCTAACATACACAGCAATTCTGGCCTTTTGAATAAACTCCCTCAGAGTTAAAATCAACTACATTTGAGTGTACATGTGAGACCATCGAATAAACTCAACGGCAGAGTTAAAGTTACTCTTTTCTTGGAGTTAATCTTTAACCCTTTTCAGGAGTTAAAACCTGAACACTTGTGGGAGTCACAAACTACTCCCAAGTGCAGTTAAATACAACTACCACTTTAGAGTTAATTTTAATATGAACTCTATAATAGTGTTAATAGTTAACACTTGAAAGGGTGTATATTCAACACTCATGGAGTTCAAATAAAAATGACTACAAACAACGTATCGATTCATACAAATGTGTTTCTTTTATTTGAAAACTCTTAAAATCCATTGTTGATGGACATTTTATAAAGTGCTGTTGCTTTTACAAACAGTGTAAACATGTTACAGCGAACATTCAATTTACATTCGAGTGTTGAAATCCTCAAGCTGCATAAACTCAGTGCATTAAGTGCAAACATTAGACAAACGGGTTAAGTGTACAAAACATTGCAGAACAGAACATATACAGACATGTATAAAGAACAAATGGAAAGGACAAATTCCATTAAACAATCAATACTGGGCAAATTAAATAATACAACTCTCTGACACAACATAAAAATGTGAATCACACCCATATGACATTTGGGAATCAAAAGGTTTGAAATGTCTTAATCCTTCTTTTTCAAGGACCAGTATCTTCCTGGGGATTTTTTCACTTAATTGAAAAGCATGAAAATGGTCATGGAAACACGTTTCATACTCGACCAAAACAAAAATAACTTTTCCATTGTGAAGAATGATACAGGTTATTTTGCTGAACACCGGCATGTTTTCATCGGTGTCAGATGCTTCATTCAGCCTCTAAGGTCCCTGGCCTCTCGTAGGACTTTGTCTTTAAAACCGCTGTTCCATCTTTCCAGGAACCTGGATGCAGTTTCGGCTCCGAACATCAATGAGAAATCTTGCAGAATCTAATAAAAAAGAAAGTAAGATTATTATTACAATCATTTAATGTAAACCAAGTATTTTTCAAGGAGGGAATTCAAAATGCAAAATGTGTTACGTACCAGTCCTTTAGTGTCCAAGAAACGAGGAAACATTTGAAGTATGTTGGCAGATTGCTGTTGGTCATGGATCATCTGTTGACGATAGTGGAAAGTTTCTCTCATCTTCTGGAAGACTAGGTCATGGTCAGTGGTGTGGTGAAGAAGAGACATGGCTTCCATACAGTCGTCTCCTGTTTGCAGGTCGTTTATGGAACCAAAACTTCTGGATGAGGTTGGACCTCCTTGTAGCTCCACTCTGTCATGGAATGTTGACGTGGGTTTGGATTGGCGTTGCAGTCTTGAGACGCCACTCGAGAAAGCCTTTGTTGCTCTGAATGTCATAGAAATGTTCCTAAAAAGAAAAGAGCGCTTCTGGTTAGAATGCAGACAATATCAGGTTTTTCATAGATCTAATGCAAATATGCTGCTGCTTGTACACAAAAGACCAAATAACCTAAATGTGAAAAAATGGCAACAATGCAAAACTCACATATCCTTTTGTTGAGTAAGGGTCCTTAAGAGATGGGAAAAGTGACACAATCCCAAGTGCATGGAACTCCTTCGTCGCTTTACTTACACCTCTCCTGCAAAAGAAAAATAATTGGTTTACAATAAGATTTTTCCCTTTATAAATGAATAATTCATGCCATTAAAGCCAAGGCTCTTACCCTTCCTTTTCACACATGTGAGCTACAATGATGTTCACCATTAATCGCCTGGTGGAATCTTTCAGACTCCCAGTATCGTCGTACTCTTTGATCACAGTCAACCCTGCCGGCTTAGAAGTTAGAACCTGCTCCACCATCTAAACCCAATTTATATGAAATAACAAAAAACAATTAACAAAATAGATCATGTGTAACCAACTACTGATCAAATCGATCATCAATAACAAAGCTTCTTCAATTCCATGACACACATTTGTTTAAACTTGCTTTTCATCTCAGGCAAAGTAAAGAGTAAAGTGTATTTAAGTACAATTACATTTCTTGCCCGGGTACTCTCCCTCATAGGTTGAATCCTTTCACATCCAGCATCACTTGTGTCACTGCTTAGGCTGCTTGAGGTTGAGACAGACAATGTATCTGTACAACTTGGAGAAAAGGGACCTTCACCATGTTGCTGCAGGTTGGTAAGATCTGGGGATCACAATTAACATCAATTATCCATATGGCCAATTATACCAAATCACATATGTGCCAGTTGCAATGTGCAAAAACTACAATTTACCGGAAGATCCCAACTTGCCCAATGAGCTACTTTTTATTTTATTAGAACAACTTTTTATTCATTATGAACATTTACTATAACCCTACCTACCACATGTTGTAAGTATCACACATTCGGTCAGGTTGGAGCAGTCAACAGATTCTGTCAGGTTGGAGCAGTCATCCATGTTTTTGGATGATTCTGCCAGTGGGAGGTCTGAAATGCACATGATACATAGATGTTACTGTGGAGAGGGAAAATACTAAATGATGTGATTGCTGTTGGTTATTGGCTAGTACAGAATATTAAAAATCAGTTTTTTACACATAGAAAATACAAATCTCTCATAGCATTTTTTTGCAACAAAACAAAACCCAGAAATATCACCTTACCATAATCAGTGTAGATGACAAAACAAATGTCTTGGACTGTTGCCACTTCAGGAAAGACATCCTCATCCACCTCTATGCCTTGCTCATCGGTGACTTTCAGCATTGTGTTTTCTGCTATGAGAAACTTCTGTTGCACTGAAGCATAACAATAGACACTTAATTAAATAAAGGACTTTTACTACCCCTTTAATGAATTCAACAACACAGACAACACTTACCTGCTCTGATGAAGTCTGAGAAGTGGACTTCGTCCAGTTTGACATATTTTTTTGACCCTCCACGTCTCACCTTCAGCAACATATTGGCCAACTAAGGAAAAAAGAGATAGCTCTTACTTTAGCAACATGTTGACTGTCCATCCATCCATCCATCTTCTCCCGCTTATCCGTGGTCGGGTCGCGGGGGTAGCAGTTCCAGCAGAGAGCCCCAAACTTTCTTTTCCCTGGCGACATCAACCAGCTCTGACTGGGGGGATCCCAAGGTGCTCCCAGGCCAGCGAAGAGATATAATCCCTCCACCTGGTCCTAGGTCTACCCCTTGGTCTCTTCCCAGCTGGAAGCTGACACAGTTGACTGTCACTAACAAAATGATCTTGGGTAGCCATGTGGTAATATTATTTCATAAGCATTTTAAGGTAGCCTATTCGCAAGCCTACATCATCAGGTTGGGCAATTAAGATCAGTTTTGGGGTAGTTATTTGAAAAAAGTAATGAGTTAGATGTTAACAGTTACTTTAAAAAAAGGTATCCCTTACTTTACTTCGTTATTTACTGCTGAAAGTAATTAGTTACACTACTAGTAACAGTAGTTTTGGATTACTCTGTAACATCACCTGAGATGCACCATAACGACCTCTGTTTTCTACTCTTTTATTTGAAAATCAACCGCGTTTTCTTTTCACCGTTGAAACGGGGAATCGTCGTCTCCACGGTGGAGGGAAATGTTGGTTCAACCAGCCTCTTTATTCCGCCATTTCTGCTCCCGTGTCCTGCATTAAGTCTGAGTGTAGCGCAGCGAAAAGGGACGTTTGCTTTATTTTTCTTTCCTCCCGTCATGCAGATAGTTAAAGTCGAAGACCATACAAGTAACGAGCTAATTTCGTGCTTTGTTGCGCCTTACACTTATAAAGACGCCATTTACTTTGTCGTGTTACTAGCTAGCTGTTACCTCAACACAAATGTCCGGGAAAGTACGTCACCTCGTCCACATTCCCTCAATGTAGCTCGCGGGACTCGTCCGGTACCGTCGTAGCCGTCGTAACTTTAATGCAAAGGAAAAGGCATTTTCGGTATTGAAAGAACAACAAACTAAACTTTAAGCTAACACAAAAGAAACAGATATGATACTATAAAGTTAATTTGCATTAGCCTAAATCATGTCCATGTTCAAACGGCATTCCATTCAGCAGCTAGTTAAACTTGCTAAGTTCGTTTTAGCGAAAATAAACACATTAACTTTACAATGACAGAAAATATAGTTTGAGATGTAAACTTACCTTCCTCGGGACGGAGTCAAAGTGAAGCCTCGTGGTCGCGGCAGCAGAGAAGTTGTGAATACACACCAGGGTAGTGTTGTGTCACGTTCCTGAACACCCGCCCAAGAGTATCCCTTAACTCAACGGTAGTCTAAATTCGAAATAAACTCCCAAAATCTAACCCTTTCACACTTTTTTGTCTAACTACCAATTATTTTACTCCAGAAATGTGCTGTGTAGAGGTGGAGTAGCTGGAACAGATTTGAGTTTGTTGCATTTAAAAGAAAATATCTGGATCGCTTCTTTTAAGACATTTCTTCGACGACTCTCTCCTCTCTGCTTCAGACGTGTTTGAAAAGCACACTGTCATGTTATAATGACAGTTTGTAGGAGAGGAGGGAAGTGAAGTAGAGCCTCATGACAACATCTCATCTCTTTTTATTATTTATTTTTGTTCAGATGGTGAGTTTAGTCCAGTGCTGGAATTGGGCCGGTACTCACCGGTACGCAGTACCGGCACTTCTGGTTCTGACCCATGGAGTACCGGCACTTCTTGCTCAGTACCGACATGCTGGCGGTACTCCGGTACTCATGCACCGTGCCAGTACTCAACACTCTCCCGCCATTCTTATTATACATCCATATATATATATACAGCCGCCCGGTACTCAGTAGATGCGTCATGAGGTGCCGAACGGACATTCTCATCGCTCTAACCGCTGGAGTTTCACAGCGGCTGTCAGCTGTTTACTCCTGTCATTCAAACAGAACGTGCTGGAGAGGGGGCGGGGCTTATCTTCTCCATGTAAATACTGTGGTGGAAACGACTATGTCAAAATTAACCTATTTGACCGTGATTTAATAGTAATACACGTTTCAAAATAATAATAATAATAATAATGCCGAAGTAACAACATACTGAAAACTGTTAGTAAAACCATGTTTTAATGCTTTACAATTTGCATACCTAGATGCACGTGTGTTGTGTTTATGCAGTGCTACTCTCACCCAGTGGGTGGCTATGTAGAGTGATAGAACAGAGCAGGCACGCCCCCGAGAGAAGGAAAGCAAGTCAAGTCACAAATTAGCATTTTTAAAATGTTAGCGTGGATTAATAAAAGTGCAAAAAGACAGCGGTTGTCGCCGGAAGAAACTTCAAATACAGAGAATGCTGTGCCTGTGTTGGAAATTGTGTCTGATGGGGAGCTTTCTTTGGTTGATCCTCCTGCTCCAAGTTCTAGTGCATTAGCATTAGCACTAGCTCCGCCGCTTCCTCCAGAGCCTCTAAAGTTAGCTGCTGCTGGCGCAACTGCCACCACCAACACCGGGCAAAGCGATGCACCTGACTGCTGGACAACGGACCAGGTGCAATATTTTTGCAAGACCAATGCATGGCTCCTTCTTAAAGATAAGAAGCTAGGATGTCGGATATGCAGAGATGTCAAATCTTTGGGAATACACACTGGACAAGGACTGAAACTGTCAACTGAATGGGGTGAGTGTGCAGTGTCTCATTTCGGTGTTGACAAGGGCAAACAACAAGCTAGCCTGAGAAAAAAAAATCAAAAGAACATAAAGAATCACAAGCCCATGTAAAAGCTGCTGACATCCTTACATCTGCTTCACGTGAAACTATTCAACATCAAGTGCAGTCTATGCATAAATCTGAATTAGACACCACTATCAGAGTTTTTCGAACAGCATATACAATTGGCAAACATAGCCGGCCATTCACTGACATGCCAATTGATTTGAATGTACAGAAACTGAATGGGCTGAACGTGGGCAGGGTTTTGCACTCCAATAAAACCTGTGGCAAAATCATCGACCACATAGCTCATGAGCTGAAGAAAAAAATGGCAAAAGACATTACAGAAAACCAAAGAAAACTCTGTGTTTTGGTCGATGAATCTACCACTATTAGTGGTAAAACGGTGCTTGTTGTGTGTCTACGCTCAGCATTAGCTGATGCTGAGCCCGAAACGTTTTTTGGGAGCTGATCGAGTTGGATGGAACAACGGCTGATGACATCAACAAAGGCTTAATGGAGTGTCTTGGAAGAGATTTTAACAAGGACTTTTTAGGTCAGTGTTTCGTTTCTTTTGCATGTGATGGGGCTTCAGTCATGCTAGGGAAGAGAACAGGCGTTGCTACCGAGTTGTGTAGTAAATTCCCAAGCCTGTTTGTGTGGCACTGCTCCAATCATCGTCTAGAGCTGGCAGTTGGGGATGTGGTCAAGGAGGTCTCAGGGCTCAATCATTTCCAGATCTTTTTTGACAAACTCTATTCCTTGTTCCATGCCTCCCCCAAAAATCAGAGGCAGTTAGCGCAGTGTGCGCAAGCAGTCGGACAGCGTCTCCTGGTGATAGGGCGTGTTTTGTCCATCCGCTGGGTGGCTTCAAGTGAAAGGAGCGTCAGAGCAGTCTGGGAAAACTACCGAGTGCTTCATGATCACTTCACAATGCTGCAAACGACACGAGCAGGGATTCCAGAGACAGAGCAAAGTACAAGGGCCTGGATGATGTGCTCACATCTGCAACGTTTGTCAGCAATCTGGGACTGATGTACGATGCGCTCACAGAGCTCAGCGACCTCTCTCGGCAACTCCAAAAAAGAGAGATGACACTGCCTACAGCAGATAGGCTCTTAACTCGAGAAATACGAGTTTTTGAATCCATGGTCACCATGCCTGGCCCACACATGACTACAGTTCATACAGCTCTAGCTGAGAAGTCCTTCAAGGGTGTTGCCCTGCGTGAGAATGGCAGGCTTGTACAGATTCATGCAGGTCAGTTTTTTCCGCAGTATGGTAGAGAATCTGAGACACAGAATGACTTCCACAACCTCCTCTCATGTCAGCACAAGAGAAATCCCATTACATGGCCGGGAGGCCCGGGACAATCAGCTAATCCAGGACATGAAAGTTATCCATCCTGGAAGTTGGCCTGAAGAGGAGTTAGACATACAGTATGGGGACGTAGAGGTGCTACGTTTGTGCGAAGTGCTGAAAGTGGACAGAAGAGAGACTGTTCAGGGCTTTCGCGAATACAAGGAAACCAGGGCATCCCGTACACCTGCTGCCATGGAGCCTCTACTGAAAGCAGTCCGAACCATCGCTGTCTCCACTAGTGAGTGTGAGCGGGCATTCAGCTGCATGAACGATATCCTTACTGCAAAAAGGAATGCTCTCTCTGTCAGCCGACTGTCCAGCCTGGTTTTCATTAAATGTAATGGACCATCACGACAGTTCAATCCGGAACAGTATGTGAGGTCCTGGCTGGCAAAGGGAAGGAGAAGTGCTGATTAAAGAGCCTGTCCAGCTCCAGCCCCTGATACTGATGTCCCCAAGGCCTTCTGGAGCCTTTTCTAACAATGTGAAGTATATTGCAAAGCAGCTCACCCAGTGAGAAGACTTTTGGCATAATGTGCCGATTTGTACAGATCCTGGAGATAGAAGGACTTCAGACCAACCAGGGAGTTATCTGATCAGCTTGGTGTTCAATGTAACTCTTTACCATGGCTCAGACTTTGTTACTTGCAGTTACAGTTTCTCATTTTAGATTGTGCAAATTTTGCATTTGTTTTTACATGTTCTTTGTTCATGCTCTTTATCATTTTTCTGAGTTGGAAAGTTAGATTGCATCATAGTTTACTTTATACATATTTGTATTCTTCAGTGGTGAAGTATATTGCAAAGCAGCTCAGCCATGTGAGAAGACTTTTGGCACTTTTTCGTTTTTCGTTTTCTGAGTTGGAAAGTTAGATTGCATTCAAAATGTACAGAAATACTTAATTTTGTTAAAGCTTTTTATAAAAAATGCTTCTGACCAG